TAGAAGCAGACACATTTAACTAGTTTTCTCTATTTTTATAAACACCAATATGCCTTTATAATTTTAAACATTATCCCATAAGTTCTATATTAGTCAGCTTTCCATTGCTGTGACAAAATATGTGAGATAATTAACTTATAAGGAGGGAAGATTGATTTATGGTTCAGTTTTAGAGGTATCAGTCCATTGTTGATTGGTCCATTGTTTTGGGCCTGTGGTGAGGCAGAACATCATTGTGGGAGTACATGGAACAAAGTCCTTTGCCTTGTGGTGGTGAGGAAGTGAAAGAGACACAGAAAGGAAGGGACTGGGATTCCAATAGTCCCTTAAAGGGTATACTCCCAGTAGTCTCACTTCCTTCTTTTAGGCCCACCTCTAAAGGTTCCATCATATCCCAAGAGTGTCACAGGCCAGGGACCAAGCCTTTATACATGGGCCTTTGGAGTACATTTCTTTTATAATAATGGCACCTTTTTTATAATGTTCAACATCCATTACCTTCTAAGACTCAAGATCTCCATGTTCATACCATAGGTTTTCATTGACTCAATAATCAGTGTTCACATTATATGACTATGCAAATGTTTGTTTCACAGCCAGGTCCTACTGTATGATTTTATTTCCTTTCATACATTGTCCCATCTCCCTTGAGTTAATAATTACCATTCTCTTTTGCTTGCCCAATTTGATATGTCCTTGTTAGTACTTAATTTCTTACAAATATGCCATTGGCTCTGTCATCTCACCTATGTTTTTCCTTCCACATGCCTCTCATCAAATATTCTATCAAGTCCTCTTTTTTCCTTGAGGACATCATTCATGCTACTTTGCACCCTTCTTGTCCTGAATGGATGGTTTGGCTCACTGAGCACTGCAAGGCTGACATCCCATGACTTTGGTTTACTTCTCTCCAAGGCTAGGCTCATGGATCCAAAGTCTCATGTTTTTTTTCTTAATGTTCTCTTCCAGTAGCTTTGTAGAGCAAACTCTGAAAATGCCTGCATTGTATTCTCACATGTGATTTAGACAATCAAAGTTGAAAATATCTTTAAGAATTTTGAAGGCATTGCTCTTTTTTTCTCTAGGGTTGCAGCTGAGGAGTCTGATACAGTTCTAATTCCTTCACTTTTATGATTCTTCCCCTGCTTTTTGGAAGTTTTTAGGTTATTCCTTTTTTATATTATATTTAGAAATCTCATTATATGCTTTGATGTGAGTCTCTTCTTGTGCTGAATACTCAGTTCTGTTAAAGAGATGTGTTTCTTTTTATTTTCCTGCATTATTTCATTGATAATGTCCTACCCTCTTTTTTTATTTGTGTGTTTGTTTTTTTCTTAGGGTTTTTGTGTTTTTGCTTTGTTCCTTTTTCCTAGATCCTATCCTATAGGTATTCAATAGATGTCAGTCCTATCCATGTATTGGATTTTCTTGATGGATCGTTTGGTAATTATATATATTTTTTCCTACTTTCCATTTCTTGTTTTTTTTTTGTGGTTTATATTTATTGTTTTATTTCTCTGGGATATTTCCTTAATTTCAATTTTTGAGGGGGACTTTTATTTCTCCCAGAAAACTCCCTCAGTGTTACTTATTCAAAGTGTGAACTTCAGGCTTTTACCTGGGAGTGCAGAGCAGAGGGCAAGAAGGACTGGATGCTTCTGACTGGGGCATGAAGTAGTCTTCCTGTCTCTAGCTCAGTACTGTATCCCACTCTCTGCCATATCTTGAGTCCCTCTCCTTGTTTACACGAAGTTGCTCCTCACTCATCCTTATCTTCCTCTAAATGTATTTTTAAGAGACTTTGTTTTTAGAGCAGTTACAGGTTCACAGTGAAAGTGACAGGAAGATATAGATCTATCCCATACATTGCAGAGCCCCCACAGATGCCCAGCTTCCTCATTTTTACTACTCCCCAATAGAGTAGTACATTTCTTACAATTAATGATGCCCCATTAACGCATAGTTATCACCCAAATCCATAATTTGCATTATGGTCACGTTTGGTGTTGTAGTTTCTGAATGCCCTTAATTTCTGATTTTTAATCTCGTATATCTTCTTGAAATTTTGATACTTCTCACCCATTTCACCCATGAATACCTGATCCCATTTCCTTTTTTAGCTTACATTTACTTGAAATTTCCTTGCTATCATGTTAGCAGAATTGGGAAGAAGAGAAGATAAACTTGAGAAATCAATCTACCATCTTTCACCAGAAGTCACATTTCTTCTCACAGGCGTTTCTGATGTTGGCCGATATTTTAATTTTTCTTAGAATTTCAGAAAGAACAAAAAATTCTTGGTAGACATTTGAGATACAGTTGAGAGACAGTCTTTGAAAAGTTCTTTGCCAACAACTTCAGTATTTTAATGTAATCACGCCAGATCCTGCCTGGTCAAAGGCCTCATTTTAAGTAGATCATGGTGAAAGAAGCTTCCACACTTGGGAGAATAAGGAAAATGTGCTTTGAACTTAGAATGGGACTGTTCTACATCTGGTCAGTTTCATTTATAGTCTTTGCTGGTCTGTAATTAGGGCAGCAGTTTGTAACATGAAGCCAATTGGACGGGTTACAACCAATAGCTTCACAGGGACTGCCAAGGAGCCTTCAGAGATGGTTTGAGGTCTCACAGACCCTGTGAATAAAATCTCTACAGATGTACTTTCATAATTTTTCACTTTTTCTCCACTTTTTCTTCATTGAGAAGCCTTTTTCTTACAATTTTATTTTGAAATCAAATACCATTTATGAAAGAATCTCATTTTTTTCACCTGCCATAGATATTGCATAGAATCCTTGAGGTGGAGACATTACAAAAGTAAGGGTGGTTATGTCTTTAATGAAGGCATAACTTTGATGTCTTGACTGAGATTTTAGATAACATGGTGGGGTGTGTACCTAACTGATGGTCATGTTCACAAAATCATGATTCCATGTGGAATTGTTCCTACTACAGGCCTGTGACATTCAAGTTATTGTTCTGTTGAGATCCCAACCCTGCTAAGGTAGAAGAAGGCAGCAGCCTGTGGGCTTCAGGAATGACAGATGAACAGTGATCATTTGCTTTCAAGTGGAGTTCGAACCAAGAGAGTTTGATGCTTTTTTTTCCATCATTTTTAAAATTTAGAATTGGAAAAAGAAAAGGCCTTTAAAAGGTGTGAATAACAGAAAAGAAAGTGTGTCCATTTTCAAGACTGTTTCATAAAAGTAGTCTATACAACTGGCTAAAATGAATACCACCGCTGAAATAGAGACTGTCTTCTGATTGGCATCTCATTTTATTGCTCAGCTGCGTACTCCCTGGACTCCATAGTGCTCAGAGGGAAGTGAAAATAAGCTAATTATTATACACGAGGGTGTTCTGTCTTTGTTATATAATAGATGTGTGATCTTGGGTAAATCTTGAGAAACCAGTGCTCAACACTTATTAAAGAAAAGAAAATAAGGTAGCACCTGCTATCAAGAAACTTACTTAAGAGGCAAACCAACCAAAAGTGATGAATGTCATGGCAGAAGAATTGAGGGTGCTATGGGAATAGCTAAGGGGAACCCCAATCAGATATTAGATGCAAGCTTTCAAAGGAACCAACCGAGTGTAAGGACAGGGATTCCAGGCAGAAGTCAGGATGCAGAAGGTCATGTGTACATGGTCTGGGTTTGGACAGCTTTGACATGGAGATGGAGAGCCAAGGAAAGGTTTAACTAAAGGAGCAAGTTTTCAAATTAGTGTTTTAGATCAAGCAGTTGAGTTGCAGTGTGGGAGATGGATAGGAATAGGTGAGACACTCAGTAGGGTAAGTCAAGTACTCCAGGTGAGTCTTTGCAATAAAAAATGCAATACATAGCAATCCAGATGAAAGGGATGGGAGGTTGCTGAGGCCACAGGGACCAACATGCCCAGGACTTTCCTGGATTTCGTGCTGAAAATCTCATGTCCTAGTCTTAAAAAACACTAAAGACCCCTCATACTAGGAAATTATTCAGTCTTGGACAAAGTGGAATGGCTGACCATTCACTTTAGGATCTGAAGATAGGGGTGAACTGGAGAGGAACACTAATCCAAGAGACGTTTGGGTTATAAAATCAACCAGACTTTCAAAGTAATCAGTTGGATGTTGGAAGGGAGAAGTTGATTTTTTTAGCTGTCTTGGGAGTTGAACTAAAGGGTGCTCTACCACTCGAGTCACTCTGCCAGGCCTTGTTGTGCTGGTTATTTGAGATAGAGTCTCGTGTTATGCCAGGGCTGGCCTGGACCACAGTCATCCTCTTTTTGCTTCCCTGTGTAGCTGGGATGACAGGCACAATCACTGCATCTAGCCATTCGTTAACATGGGGGTCTCTTGGACTTTTTGCCTGGGCTGGTCTCAAACCACAGTCTTCCCCATCTCTGCCTCCTTAGTAGCTAGGATTATAGGCATGCATCATTGTGCCCAGATGTGCTAAAATTTGTAGCTTGGTTGATGGAGAAGCTAATTATAGCATTATTCGAGTCACTGGATTAAATTCTTTCAGGTTATGGCTTTTTACCTCTACTCTACAGTCTTAGCCAATCACTGAAATATATCAGTACAAAAGAATCTTTTAATGGCCCCAGGTTTTGTGGATATGATGAAATAGAAATTGGTATCCATATCCACAGAGTGCATAGAAGGGTGTGGGCAGTCTACCTATCCAAAGTATAGGTGCTGGAGTTTTTATTGTTTAGGTTGTTCCTAGTAGGACAGGATTAAAATTTGCAGTCTATCTCCCAGAACTGGCTCATTCATTTTGACATTAATGTTTCATGACCCCAGGCAGCTTGCTGGATTTGGTTCTCTAAACATGTCAAAAATAAATAACTGTCAAACTTCCATTCTTATGAAATAAATTCAGAAAAAGTCTAAGGAGAAATAAAAGTAGCTAGTCAGCTCATTTTTCAGTTTTCAACTAGATATTTATATTTATGTTTTTTAAAAATTCCTGGATTGTATAAAACATTCCCTGATTCTTTTCCAAACCAGCTTGATTGTGCAAGCCACAGATAGAGGGATTCCCAGGCTTTCTGATATGACTATGGTCAAGATACAAGTGACCAATATAAATGACAACGCCCCTGCCTTTCTCTCCTTGGATGCAGTAAAAATTGCAGAAAGTAAGTGTGACAATTTGGAGATGTGGTTTAACTTGTCTAATATCATTTATCATTTTTTTTCAGCCAGATGCTATATAAGACCTCAATAGCCATGCAAGCCAAGTAATTTTATCTTCATTTTAAAGGATAGAAAGAGGATGGTGACAAAGAGATTCAAATATCAAAAGGCGTTAAATGCTAAAACTAGGATTTGCCTTCAGATCACGGAGGAGGCCACACCCCCATCTTTCAACTGCCATTCCTCACGTCATCTTTTTAAGTGTAGACTTTTTTTTATTTTATTTTATTTTTTGGTGCTACTTGGGATTGAACTCATAGCCTCACACTTGCTAGGCAGGCATACTGTCACTTGAGCCATACTCCCAGTCCCTTTTGCTTTAGTACCAGATCAGCCTAGACCACAGTCCTCCTACCTCTACCTCCCATGTAGCTGGAATGACAGGCATTTGCCACTACTCCCAGCTTATTTTTTGAAGTGGGGTCTTGTTAATTTTTTTCCCTGTTTGGCCTTGGACCAAGATCCTCCCCATCTATGCCTCCCATGTAACTGAGATTATAGGTGTGAGCCACCATGACCAACCCTTGTGTGGACATTTCTTAAATACCAAATCTATGTGTACCACACTAATTGTAGAGTTTAAAAATGTGAAGGTTGTAGTGACAGACCAATTAATGTTAATTGTTTTATCCCATAATTTGTGAATCCTAAATTTTCCATGGTCAATGGCTGCATTGGTGGAACCCAACTCATCTCTGCTTAAAGTTGAAAACAATGGTGGCCCTCACTTGCCTTCCTGTTTTCCCCCTTTCTTTTGAAATAGTGGGGTTTGAACTCAGGGCTTTGCACTTACTAGTCAGGCTCTCTACCACTTGAGCCACACCTCCAGCTCTGTTATGTTGATTATTTTTGAGATGGGGTCTTATACTTTGGCCTGGAGCTGATCTCAGATGGCAATTCTTCTACCTACATCACTCCTCACAGAGAAATCTCTATGCATAGAGATATTTTAAAGTATTAGATTCTTTTATTTGTAAAAAACAAAAAAATCCTCAATTTTGCCTCTCCCTTATTTCATATATTTTCATTTGATTTGATAGCAAGTCCAATCCTCAGCACAAGCAATGGTGTTAAAATACAACTATGTGCCCAGTATAAATATAGCCCAAGAATGAACTGCAGAAATCAAAACACACTGGATGGGGAAAGATGTGTTTGGTGCCTCTTAAGAATGCCTAAAACTGAAAATTAAGAGGCTTGTATACAGTGGAACATTCTGAGTATCTGGGCACTTTCTTTCCACTTACACCATACCAGAAGCTTAAACACAAAGATTCCTTCATGGGTGTTAGGCTGGAAATGCATGTGCACGAGACATGGGTTGTGTCATCTATCCTGTGATTTTTTTGTTGTAACATTAGAGATTTGCTTTCTTGCTTTTGTCACTAGCACTATGTATATTTTGTTTTTCTATACTATTAGTAATTTTGAGAATCAAATTTTAGAGAGGGAGTGTATGCACCTCTCCAGAAGAAATAACTCTGTGAAAATAAATACAAAGAAATAGATACTAATTTTAACATCCATATCTGAATATTTTCATTCAAAGCTAACTTGCTTTTCAAAATTTTGTGTTTTGTATTAATGTTTTGAGTAATATTATTCTTCACAGCCACGTACCCTAAGAATATATGATTTTGGAGGTGGCACTGGGGTTTGAATTCAGGTCCTCATGTCTGCTAGATAGGTGCTCTTACTGCTTGATCCACTCCACCAGTTTAAGATATGATTTTGATATAGAAACTAAACAGGACAGATAAGCACTTAGAAGGTCTCTTGAGTCTGGAATTGTATTGTAATCATATGATAGAAAAAGATATAATATAAAAATTGAATATACCCTGCTTTTCAATTTCCTACTCCATGGTCAATTTTTACTTTTATTAGGCTCATAAATTCTTCAGAGTTTTTGTTTAGTTTATAATGAGCCTTGTATGAGAAATCATGCCAAGAAAGAGTAAATCACGTTGGACTTGAAATGAAAATACTTGGATTGAACTATTAAAGAAATGTCTTTCACGGGATGAATTTTAATGGAGGCTGACATCGGTCATGACTATTTCAGATTCTTTGCCTGGTGCAGTTGTGTCTCGGGTGTCAGTTCATGACATGGATACAAATCCAACTTTCACCTTCAGTTTTGCCAAAGAGAGCAGTCCTGGAACTAAGTTCTTGATGGATCAGAGCACTGGGGTGGTAATGTTGGTGGAAACATTGGATTTTGAAGAAGCTACTGAATACGAGCTGGCAATCCAAGTGTCTGACTCAGTGCACCACACGGAGGGATCCCTCCTTGTCTGTGTGTTGGACGCCAATGACAACCCACCAGTGTTTTCTCAAGATTTCTATCAGGTAACGTTTAAAGAGGTGCTGAGACCACTGTCAAAAGTGGAAGAACAGAGAGTTGATGTCAGCCTTCCATTTCTGGCACTCTCATGGAGGCAGACGTATTTACTGTTTTTAGTGCTAAGTTAATGTGGCAGGCTTTACCCTTAATATGGTGGACACTACAGATACATGTAGTGTCTCATTCAACTCAATTGAATAAGTAGGTAGGTCATTAGTTTTCCTAGTTTTTTTTATGGGGTTGTTGTTCAGTTCATAACAATTGGAACTTGCCTAATATTTAAAGAGCCACAGATAAGACTGGGAAGTTTAGATTATCTGAGATTTATTTGGTAAGATTCTTTCCTAGGCATATTTTTAGAATACACAGATTAATATTTTACAGCAACAAGTAGTGTGCACATCTATAGAGTGGAGATTTTAAATTTTAGGGCACAGAACATGTTTGCAGAAATAAGGAGGTAAAAGTGTTCCCTAAGGATTTGAAAATGAACTCGTGAAGGGAGCAAATGCAAGATTCAAGAATCAGCCAAGCAGGGCTACTCACATTGCCATTGATCCTCTGTGGGCATTTGCTTGACTTACACGGTGTGCCGATGTAGTAATGTGTGAGTGATTGTACTATCTTGCTGCACAGAAATCATTTCAGAAGAAAAATTTTCATAAAAACCAAAGGTGAATAAAATTCATTTTCCTGAATCTAGGAACTATTTATATATTATATGTTTTAATGTGTCAACTCTATACATTAATATGTCTATGAAAAGCAGGTTGTCTTGTGTGGTTTCTGTAGTCAAAATGAATAGAATGACCTCATGTTCTGGCCCTGTGGTAAAAATAACTTTACCTTTAAGTGTGATGTCCTTTTCCCTCTTTTTCCTCAGGTCGCCATTCCTGAATCAGTGCCTCTGGGGTACTCAGTGTTGACTGTGTCAGCCACAGATGTAGAAAGCAGTGAGAACATTTCTTACAGAATCCTTTCCTCGTCTAAGGAATTTTCCATCGATCCTGTGAATGGTGAGTTATTTATAGTGCTTTAGAGTCTCACAGGTTTGAGTTATGGGGTAGAAACATGAAATAATCCTTTTGAATGCTCCTAAAAAAGTCCCCTACTGTCACTCCCTGGAATTATAGGCATCCCCTTCTTACTTATCTTCATGTCAAACCCTGCAGTGCCAGACACCAATGTTTGTTCTCTTCTCCAGTGTCTCAATGGGTGGAAAGCAAAAGATGGGTAAACGCTGGTAAATACCAGAAATTCAGAGACCCCAATGAGTAAACCCCCAGTTCATGTGCCCAACTAAGCATAGTTTAAATCATTATTCCAGGACTCAACAAGAATCAAAGTAATGTTAAAAGAATTAATTCAGTACTGAGGATTTCACGTTATTATAGTCTGGAAGCTGTTTTTCTAAGCCAAGTGCAAAAGTGCTCAGAAATAGCATTATATAGTCCATAAGGACAACGATAATCAAAAAGTGGAAATGATTCAAGCATCCATCTCAGCTAGACAGAAACCATTGTGGTGCTCTGATTTATTTGATTTCTTCTAAGGCTCTTTGCATTTTTATCAGAGAACAGGACATTTGTGGTTGTGAAATGCATTCAGACAAGTGATTCCAGATTAGAACAGTTCAGCAGTGTGTAAGGAAAGTGTAACCGTGAGTGGACCGTCAAAGCTAAATTCAATAAAATGTCCTAGAAAAGAACAGAACAGGCCTGGGATGTGTCATACTGTGTGTTCCCTTTACCCACCATTGTTGCATCATTCTAACAAGTGACAGCTGAGTTAAATATTAACCTCAGGATTACCTGAGAGAAGAATTTAGTTTGAAAATATCAGAGTGAGGCCCACAGAGAGTTGTAAAGGAAGAAATTGGTTATGTTATCAAGTCAGTTTAGCTCATAATGTGACTCTAATTGAAATGTGGTATTTAACTCTCAGCATTCAGCATTCTTTTCAGTCTCATACTTAAAACACATTTTACATACATGTTTACAAAATTATATGTTTCTGTATTTAATAGAATATCATGTATTAAATATATTTTACCATTAAGGGGAAACTTCACTCATTGAATTAACCATGAGCAGCAGGCACAACTCTGCTATTTTTACTGCTTTCATTGGGTTAGAGTGAGCATCAACCAGTATTTCCAGAGCAAATATCTTTAAAAAGTTGTTTGTGGTACTGGGGATTGAACCCAGGGAGTCACACATGCTAGGCAAGTGTTCTACCACTGAGCTACTTTCACAGCCTTTTAAAAACTTGTTAATTTTGAGACAGGGTCTTGCTATTTAGTCTGTCTTGCCTCAAACTTTTGATCCTCTTGCCCAGCCTCCTGAGTTAAGTGGGGTTACAGGCATTTGTCACCATACCTAGCTTAGAATAAGTATCTTACTGCCAGAATATCCCTATACATGTGTTTATGGTAGGAAAGTATAAAATTTTCAAACATAAATATATTTCCTTTAAAGAATAGTAGTGGAACAACTGAGTATGCAAAAATAAAATTCAGAAAAAACCTGTGGCAAAAGCACCCCCAAGTGGCATGTACATTTCAGATGAATGCCATGAGAATTACTTCTGGATCTTCAGTGCTATAAAAATGTAAATAAAATAGTTTAAAATTTCCATTTGAACTTACTTTTGGTTGTAACTCAACACATCAGCAAATAACTAAATCCATTTAAATATTCAGTAAGTATTTGCTGATTAAATGGATCATGAACATTTAATTTCACAACATTGACACTCTGTGTCTTGTTTTTTAGGCACCATATTTACTGTCAATCCTGTATCACTTCTGGATAAAATATCAACAATCCGACTTCTTGTTGAAGCCAGTGATGGTGGAATTCCTGACCTTAGGGCTCTCACATTAGTAGAAATAGAAATCCGAGATATGAACAATCATGCCCCTGAGTTTGATACAGAGTACTATAATCTCAGCTTGAGTGAAGACACTCAGGTAGGAAGCACAGTCATCACATTTTCAACTGTTGACCACGACTGGACGCTCGAAAACATACATGTTGAATATTTCATCGTCAGTGGTGATCCACAGGACTACTTCCACGTGGAAACTCATTTGATTCACTCAGAATATCCTTTTAAGCAAGTTGGTTCTCTTGTGTTGCTTCACAGTCTGGACAGAGAAACCATTGCCAGCCATCAGCTTGTCATACTGGCATCGGACCTTGGCTGCCCTCCACTCAGTTCCACAGCTGTCATATCCATACAAGTACTTGATGTCAATGATAGTCCGCCCAAATTCAGCAGTCTGGAATATCAAGCCCATGTCAAAGAAAGTACTCCTCTAGGGAGCTACATTACTGTGGTCTCAGCAAATGACCGTGACTTGGGGTCCCACGCAGAAACCGTCTATAGCATTATCTCTGGAAATGAGAAGGAACATTTTCACTTAGAAGAAAAAACTGGAGTCCTTTATTTGGTGAAACCTCTGGATTATGAAGAAACGATAAAATTTACTTTAACTGTCCAAGCTTCTGATGAAGAAAAGAAGTACTTTTCTTTTGCAGTTGTGTTTATCAATGTCTTAGACGATAATGACCACACTCCTCAGTTCATGTTCTCAAGCTTGAGTTGTGTTGTTCCGGAAAATCTGCCTGTCCGCTCCACCATATGTTCTGTAAGTGCTTTGGATTTTGATGCAGGACCATATGGAGAAGTGACCTATTCTATTTTATCACCCTGTCTTGTCGCCCATGGAATTCCTCCTGCTCGGGATCTCTTCGTCATTGACTCTTTAACAGGTGACATCTATGCTAAACAAATCCTTGACTATGAAAGTGTCAATAAGTACTGCCTCACAGTTCAGGCCAAAGACAGAGGTGGTTCAACAGCCTCCTTAATAGTCTGGATAGATGTTGAAGGGATAGATGAATTTGAACCTGTTTTCACTCAAGATCAATACTTTTTCAACCTCCCAGAAAAGAATCAAGGAAGACAGCTGATTGGTAGAGTAGAAGCCTCGGATGCAGACGCTGGTGTGGATGGGGTCATTTTTTACTCCCTTGGGACTTCATCTCCTTTCTTTTCAATAAACAAAACCAATGGTAACATTTACTGGATTAGAGACCCTCCCCTAATAAACAGTCAAGTAAGCAAAGAAGACACCTTTGAAATGAAAATAATTGCTCAAAGCCCCAAACCAGGCTCCAAGTTCACATCCTGCAGCGTGTTTGTCAATGTGTCCTTGTCCTCGGAAGGAAACAGTGCCACAATATCTGTGGACAGCTTCTCCCTCAGCCTCACTGTCTCCTCTTTAATGTTTCTGTTACTCATCTGCATTCTGATTGCACTGATTTTAAGATATAAACAAAAAAACACGCTACATTGTTATGAAGAGAAGAAGATGTCACCCTCCTTAGATGTTGATCTGAGGCTGATAGGAGAAGCCACAATGCTCCAGGAGGTAAAGGAGTGCAGGGAGGAGGCAGGGCCCAGGGGTGCCATGCCCGAATGGTTGGGCTTAATAAGCATCATGGAAAAGGACATTGCCAACATGTATAGGCACTCAAATTCCAGTGGCCACTGTTCTGTGGAAGGAGAAACTGCAGAAGATAAGGAAATCCAGAGGATAAATGAACATCCTTACAGAAAGGACTCAGACTCGCCTCTGAGTGATCAGGGGTCCAGGGTGCCAGACTCAGGGATCCCCAGGGACTCAGACCAGCTCTCCTGCCTGTCTGGGGAAACCGATGTGATGGCCAGTACTGAAGCAGCAGAAGCCAGTCACACATTTGAAGGAGGAGATGGAGGCAAAGGCTGCAGTGCCATCTATGTTCAACGTAATGTGCTTCCCCAGGCTCTGCAGAAGCGAGACACAAAAGGTGTCCTGGCTGATGGCGGGAAAGAGTTTATTTCAGGTGATCAAGAAACAAGATGTGGGGCTTTTTCAACTCAGATAACCTCTGAGCATAATGTTAGGGGAAACTATACGTGGGATTGTCTCCTCAACTGGGAACCCAAGTTCCAACCTCTTGCGTCAGTATTTAATGACATTGCAAAACTGAAGGATGAACATTTACCTATGCCTGGTATTCCAAAAGAGAAGTCTTTTGTTTTTCCACCACCTCTGATAACAGCAGTAGCCCAGCCTGGAATTAAAGCAATTCCACCAAGAATGCCAGCTGTAGCCCTGGGGCAGGTACTTCAGAAATACCCCCGCTCCCCCCTTCTCTACCATGGTGGTTCCCTGCCAGAAGCCATGACCCCCAACTTTTCCCCATCTCTTTCCCTGTTGACTATGCAGACCCCTGCCAGGTCGCCACTATTGTCAGATGGAGAATTATTAGAGACACAAGGGAGTGGTACGTGTTGTGAACTGAAAGAAGATGAAGTTCAAATCTAACTAATTACTCACCATCAGCCACAAATGGCTCAACAAACATTCTTGAGCAACTTCCTCTGGATTGGTTTCATTCTTACCTAAAAGTGAATGACCTCATTTAGCCAGGGTCTTTTAAACCTCCCATTTAATTTTCTTGAATTTCTTCTGCCTTAATAAGAAGTTATTTCTTCTTTTAGCCTTTATGTTTTGCTCTCAGGACTTAGATTTGTATATATCAGTTACTATATATTCTGCTATACCTGGTTTTCTGTATGATTAGATTTCCAAAAGACACAATGAACTTTACTGACTGCCAAAACATTTATATGAAAATAAAACATAAGATACCTTGGTCATGTTACTGCTGATGATATACCTAAACCAAAAATGTAATGGCAGGATGGAGAAGGACTTTAGGACAGAAAGTAACACAGGAGAAATCAGGAGAGGTCAACTCAAGTTTTAAGTCAAAGTGACAGTCCATGGAACTGATACTTTTAAAGATGTATTTCTCTGTTTTCCCTGTATACCCTCCTTGAGCCATTATTTGAACTTTAAAGTAGTGTCTTTGGGAAATCTAATGAAAAATTAAGACTGAAACTTGTCATAACTCTATACCAGGAGGGTGAAACAAAAGTATCCCTGATTAAATGAGATGAAATGCCAGGATCAATAGTAGCAATAGTTATGTGGGTGCCTGCTACCTGACACATAATAGCTTGGCTTTCCTTCTCTGCAAATGATAATTTTTTTCTTCAATGCTCTTTCTTTTCACAGAACTTGGATACAGACATAAAACCTCAAAGTTTAATTTATAGAAATTTCTTCATTTGATTTTCTTCTAGGTATAGTAATTTGCAGTATGAATTTATCCACTCAATATCCATTTTTAAAGTTTGTGTAGATAAAATTATGTTATTAGCTAATTCTAAATTTCAGAGTAATTTAGTGATATATTTTTAAATGAAGTTTTTTTTATATAAAAATTTCTACTATAAAAGTTAAGAACGGATGTCAGAAATTCTTCTTCCACTCTCTCATACTCACATTAAGCTGTAATTGTCATTATGTAAGCCAGTTTGGAAACATGGTGAAAATAATTCTGTTTTTGTATAGTTCTTATTTTAGAGATAGAGTAGTCAGTGGTTGTCTGGTGCTCACATGGAGCCCTTCCCTTTGATGAACCTGAGAGTCCATTAAAGATGCCTCCCTGTCAGGAAGACAGAGTGCATCATGGTGACGATGGGTCTGTAATTATCCTCTTATGGTTGTCATCCTCTTCTGGTTGGCACAATGGCCAGGATTTAGGATAACAGTTTAGGAATTCCTACAAGAAATCTCAAGAGTGTCTGCACAGTTTTTTTAGGAGGTGGTGGTGGGATTCTGCTACAAAAATACTTCCTTTTTGTTTTTTTCCAGGTGCTTAATCGGTGAAATTATGTGAGATAATTTCTCTTCACTGAAAAACATTGCAGGTGCAATGTTTGATGTCTAGCTTTGTAGATAAATAACTTGATGTCTTCCTATACTGATGTTATATATTACTATATATCTTTGTTGACTCAAATTGAGAACATTTGTGTAAACTCACATTAATAAGTGTATGAAACATGAAGGTTTTAGACAAGCCTGGAATCCTAGGGAAAGTCTTTTAGGTGTGGAACATATAACTATCACAGCACTGATCCATGTTTCTGCTTTTCTTCTTGACATCTGGGGAAGAAATTTCATGACTTTTGTAAAAACACACCCAGTTATTTTAGTGTTTTAATATTTATTGTCTCTTCAACTCTTTTCAGAAGATTGTGTGGTGCAGAGAAAGAAATTCTATAACATTTTTTTCTTACCATGTGTGAAAGTTTCATTTTGCAACAGAGTTATTTCTGGAAACCAAGAATATTTTGTTGTTTTTTTAGGTGCACAGGTTCTTCATTTACTTATACTTAAAATTTTGAGTTATCCATCTAACACTTCCCTAAGTTATTTGCCTGTGATTTACTATTGAACACGATTCTGTATTTTTTAACTATTTCATAAAAACAGAAGACATGAAGTATTTAGAATTCTGTACCAATAGTTAGTGGATCTTTAATTGATGGCTTTATTAACACTACTTTCACCACCAAATGACTGCCACAAGCGGGGTTGATGGTGAAAAAAAAATGTGAACATGGTGCTTAAGTGTTTGTAATAAATCATATGTCAGCCCTTTCAATTAGAGTGCTTTTTTCCTAATTTCTACAATGTAATTTCTACAGTTTGCCTTCAAGTTTAGTATTAACTTGCCTCATATGTTCTGTGTTACTTTGCTGGTCTCTACACTGGCTTTAGCACTCTGGAGGGGGTACAGAACTTGTTAGTGGAAAATCATATTAAGCCCCAAATTCATAAGCTATAAAATAAAAGACAGTTGTCTCTTGTGGAATTTTGGCTGCCTGAAATTCTGGACTTTCTTATTGGCAGCCTTAAAAATACTGGTGTAAATCAATACCAAATGGATATCAAAATTCCATGTCCTAGTGGTAATCATTGAATTGGCTTCCAAAACAGATTCTTGGGCAAATAAAAGGGAAAATGCTGTATCTTTAGGGATTTGATCATTTCACTGTGTTTAAAAATATTAGAATGTGTTACCCACTACTGGCATCCTCCAGGTATGCACATTTTGTCCATGTCAGATGTCCAATTGGGACAGGGTTTATGTCAGCACCTTTATGGGGAGTTCTCCTGGCTATGTTTTCTAGGCATAATAGGGATGAAAATTAATTATTTTTAAAGTTCTGTCCAAATATGCACTTTGTTTCTTTTGTTTTCTTTTGCCATTGTATATATACCTGAACTTTAAGTTTTTAAAAAAGCAAATAGACCTAAGGATCTAATCTAATGACCCACTTCAAAGCAATGAAATAATGGAGTGAATATGGCTAAGATGATGCTCGTATGGTATGAATGATAAGCCTGTTGAGTTTATTTTCATGGTATGTTTTACTCTAGCTGGAAAGTACAGAGCCATCTGTTCAGTCGAGGCTGGGTGATTGAGAGTGGGAGTCTACCCTGTACAGGAGAGCTTTCAGGGTGGGCCAAGCTGCAGAAGCTTTGCTTAAGACCTAAACCAGGTGTCACTGTGAGTTTCTGCCCATTGTAGACATGGAGGGAGAGAAAGAAGACATGGAGAGAGGGAAGGGAGACAAGGAGAAAGGCAGAGTAAGAGACAGAAGAGAAAATAGAGGATTAAATCTGAAATGGAAGAATCTAGAACACAGATTAGAAATGCAAGAAGGTGGAAGGGTGAGGACTTTTAAAAGTTAATTTTGTTTTCTTTGTAGGCTTTTCCAGGCAGAGTCCCAGGCTGGGCTCAAACTCTCAAGTGCTGACTACACCCAGTTAAAAAGTAATGCTTATTGTGTGAAGATCTTACTGAGTCATTCACCCTTTACAAGTTCATCCTTTTGAGGAATCTCTTTTTTCCTGCTTCCTTTCTGTTCCTTCCAAATTGGTCCTTCCATTGTCTGACAATTTAAATTTATTAAGTTGTAAAACTAAATTTGGGTGATAATGAACTAAAATACACTTGACTATGAAAATGTGCATTTATTTTGTCTTTGAGTTTTTTTGGCGGGGGGAAGGGATACAAATTTCAGAAAGAAACAGTAGGAGTCATTATCTTACCTTATTTCCCACTCCCCATGACTTTGGCACTGAATGTGGCACAGGATTAAGTAGTTGACTTTGAACATATAATACCAAGTAAATGGAAGTTCACAGGCATGTGGGACAGAATACAGAATTTTGGACCTTTTTTTTTTTTCTGATGGCTAATCTTTTTCCAAAAAATGAGTACTGCTGCTCAGTGGTTGTGATTTCATCATCAATTATTACATCTCACAGAATGTTTGAAGGACAGTGAACACACAGGGGATAGTCAATAGTTTTGTTCTCAAAAAGTCAATTTTATTTGAACTCTGGTGACAACAATTATTTGATTCCATGTAGATGAAAGAAATTTTTCTATGAGACACAGAATTATGGCAATCTTAGAAAGATCTAGCCCCAAATGGCTGGAGCATCAAACTATACCTTTCTCCTAGAAACTCAGTAGTTGGCTATTTGATGACAATTAGCACTTCCTACTGTTTTAGTCTACATAACTCTACTCATTTCGCCTGGTGCATTTGCTAAACCAGAACTGTGAAGTGAGTAACAGAGAGGAAAAAGGCATGCCAAATAAATAGCAGATGCACAAGTTCATGTTTTGAATGAGAAAGCTTTATTTTGGTTAGGAAACGAAATAAATGGATTTTGTTGTTAGATAGTCAACCCTTAGGGCAAAGGCCTGGTCTCCACTTGTATTATGAAATTCAGATGACTGTTAGGATGAATGAGTCCATGTGTGAATGGGTGTGGAGGGGGTCTGCTAGGCAAGCGTTAAACCTGTTAGGTGAGAGTTCTGACATAGATCTGTGCTTTTAGTCAATCACAGGGCAGTCAGAAAGTAAGTGAATATCCTATTAGAATAATATAGAGTATCTTAGAAAAAGTCAAAGGACCAGAAATTCTTTCTTAGATAAGGTTTTTTTTCTCTTTCTTTCTTTCGTTCTAACAATGTACCTACACACACACACACACAGAGTGAGTTTTAGACACAATAGAAATAAGTTATCAGTGACATTCAATAGTGTATTGTTTGAGAAAGCAACACATGACCAAGCATATCAGTTTAACTTTTGAGCCTATAATAAACCATGGCTAGTGCCATGAAGTTGCATCAGTAGGAAAGATGAATCCAGCTTGGTAGATATGCCTAGAATGTTTGCATCAAAATTTATTATAATTGAAGATAAAAAAACAATGTGAGAAATTTCTGAAAGATAGTTTATATTTGTACATACTTTGTGTCACAGGTAATATTTTTAATAAGTATGGGTTATTTAATAAATGCATGTTAAAGAATTGGGGTAGGTAGTACTTATGAAATTACCTTTCCTCACACCATAAATAAAAATGAATTCTAGCCAGATTAG